ACTTTTCAATTATTTTCACTCTGTCACTGGCAGTAAATTAAGATTTGTCAATAAAACTTGCTTCATTTATTTCCATAAAGATTAGAGGTAGGTCAGGAACTGCCTGTTAAATCTGTGATGCTGTTGTTGTGATTATGAGAGGACTCATGCAATCTCATCTGTTGCTTTACTCCATTGATTTCTTAATTTAATAGTTATAGGACATGTACCGACAATCCTTAATCAATTGTACATGATATGTTTTTGTTAGGAGTGTTTTTCAGTGGAGCGAAATTAGTTTTAAAAAATTAAGTTACGTTAAGTTATGTTTATGTAGCAATTGAAACAAATGTTGAAAGACATGTATTACATGTATAACTCAAATTGTCATTGAAATTACTTTGTGAAATGTCATTCTATTCAAAGGAGTGTGAAGCTTATTAAAGCTTGATAGAAATATGTTAATGAATTTTATCCACTGAGGTTTAGAAACATCCTTTTGTAAGTTATAATTTGCATGCATGAAAGTCTTCAAGTACCGGTTTGTTAGAAGAGTCCCTTTAGATGTCCTTTTTTAGCGCTGTTCTTCGACTAAATGAGAAGGGATTATTACAGAGATGTTTGCATGACATAGGTTGTAACTTCCTGCAGTTTTTCCCAGTCTGGTCTTTTTATTTTCCCTCTGTCTGATCTTCGTAATTGATTACAGGTAAACCCTAGGTTGATGGTTAATGCGTTTCTTTTAAGCTCGGGTTTTTGTCTAGAGCACAGTCAGTAATTATGGAAATGAAAGGTAAACTGCTCTAAATGATGAGAGGTTGTTGTCAGCATAATGTACCTGTATTTTTTGAGTGGTTGTCCCCCTCCCTGATATTCTGTGTCTCTGCGATCTGGCTACAGTAAAACTTGTCTAGTATACCGGGAAACACAGATAGAATTGTATAGAGAATTTTTATGTATTTTAAGAATTTGTTTTAGTATACCTGGAAAAATTCATAGCAAAATTCATTGAAAAATTGTAAAGTAATAATGATCTGTGATATTATGAATTAACATATATAATGAACTGATTTTGTGTCCCCTAGCATCAATATATTTTTTTTTACCTTGACCTTACCTTTGACCTCACCATGTTTAAAATTGTTGACTAGCTCAGTTTCATAGAAACTTCATATCTAATGAATTTTGACGAGTGCTATTGACTATATCTATTTATTGAACTTGACATTCTTTTTGACCTTGACCACATCTAAATTTAGATCACTTTCACAGAAGTCTGGAATATGTGCTATTTCTAAAAAAAAAAAACAAAAAAAAAACCGTCAGATTGCCAAAAATGACTAACAGCCAATGAATTTTGAGGCAAAATTTGGATTCTTCAGCAGACAGTTGGCAGTTCATCAGCTGTTGTCTTGCTCACTTGACCTTTTTTGTCTGCCGACTAATTTTGTGTCTGTATAGTCCAGTTTAATTTTTTTCTGCATCAGATTATAAATTAACCCTCTAATTCAAATTCAAAATTTCATGAAACCAGATTTGTTCAGCTTTTTATAATATTGGCAATTGCAATTTTTCAAAGATTTTTAAAAATATTGGGTAGGTATGGGCTGTCTTAGTTTATACATCCTTTTTATGACAGTTTTTATGATTCAGGTATTGATCATAGACTGAGAGAGCATATTAATAACTCTTAAATTAAATTTTCACTGGAAAAAATACAAACTTTGAAAGCCTGCGGTATTCATTGTCACTAGAGATTGTGTCCCCTAATAATCTGACAAGAATACTGATTGGTGTCATCTGATAATTATGAAGATATTGAATTCTGTTTACTGGGGCTCCCAGGAGGGGCTATACTAAACAACAGCAGCAAACAATATGAGATCCCTGAAGACCCCCATGTCACTTTGTCTTCGTTATACATTAAACAGCAAGGGACAAGGTTTCCCTTTATAATGTAATTTGGTCCAAGTGTTGGATCTAAGCAGGATTTATGTTTTGTAGAAATCAACAATGTTTCCACATGCATTCGGGGTTAAGTTTCATTGACAGGTTTAGAGCAGGGAATACAATATACCTGGATACTTGATATTTAGGAGAAAAAAAATCTTAACCTTAAATTCCATTTGGTTTTAGATGTAAAAAAAAATTGATATTTTACAAATATTACTTAGAACTGCATGGAGATTTACATCTATGTATAAACTATATGTTATGTTTAAAACTAAAAAAAAATTACCTTACAATTTTGGATGTGGTAATATTGTTATTTCTTTCTTTTGTAAAATGACACACTTATTGACTTATATACGTTCAGATCAGTGCGAACAGCTTATAATTAAAAGGTTAGGTATTACCTCAGAAGGCCAAGCCACATATAATTGGCTCTTCACTGTGATTCTTGTATCACTTCATGGTCAATATTTTACTTGCCAGCTGCAGATACCTATGAATATATGGACATTGATTACTTTTATCGGGGAGCATGTAGTGATGAGCTCCTCTGACACGGGTAGAGAGTGGATTACTCGTTATAACAGACCGTCTTTGTCTCCTAATAACACTTGCTGGTTGTAGTTATACTGGATAAGTTTTAGTTATTCAGCCACACTTGGTTTTCACAGTCATTCCTGAATCTGTCAATTAGCGCTGGGAATTCTAGTGATTTTCTGTCATGCTTTTATAGAACATGGAGGACTATTCCGGTAGGTGTTTAGAAGAATCACTTTGCTTCCTTATTATTATCTGTTACATTGTATAAATATCTATAACCTGTTTTAATTGTAATTACAAATTTATGTTTTAATTTTTTTTTTCACAGTTTCCTACTAGATACAATTTACCGGTATCTAAATTAACTTCAATACATGTCTTTTAAGTTAAATTTCCCTCTTGTATTAAATAATTGTTGAATTTATGCAGTTATATATACATATAGTTGTATCATCTACAGAAAAATGAGTAAATTAAAACAATTGTATGCCTAACATTTTTCTGTAGATGATACAACAATAATATTGGACTTGTTATTTTTTAAGAAGATATCTTAAAGGCCTATACCAGTAGTTTACCCTGGGTATATCTTTAGTGTGCATCTGCAATGTCTTGTGTATAGTGACAATAACTTTAGGTCCATGCAATAACTGAACATTTTGCACTAATTATTAATATCCTACATTTTATTAGATTCTTTTAGGGAATGAGAGAAATGTGACCCTTAAAAACAGGATCTAGATTCAGAAGATTAATAAAAAAGGAATACAGAGACTTTCACTGTGAATGTTACCAGCCTATGAATGCCTATAAATGATGGTCTCAGAGTGGATTGCTTGTCTAGACAAAAGGTATGTTAGTTTTCTTTTATGTCAAAAAGGTATGTCAATTTCTTTTTTAGGTCACCTGAGTCACTCAGGTGACCTATTGCTATCTGTTTTCGTCCGTCGTACGTCGTTCGTCGTACGTCGTTCGTCGTCAATCGGTCGTAAACTTTTGAACATTTTCAGCTTCTTCTCTGCAACCACTGATTCAGAACCAATTTCAACCAAATTTGACACAAAGCATCTATGGGTTAAGGGGAACAAAAATTGTGAATTTCATGATCCCTGCCCCCCTGGGGCCTGAGGGGTGGGGCCAAAACCATTAAAATTAATGCAATCTTTAAAAATCTTCTTCTTTACTCCTGGACATCAAGCAGTCAAACTGTTTGCATGATTGTAATCAGCGTTGAGTCCTCTACCAAAATTGTGAAATTCATGGCCCTGGGGTCAGGGATTCTTGTGCTAGGGCGGGGCTCTATTGATTATATAGTGAAAATGCATTAATTCTTTGAAAATCTTATTCTCTGCTCCTGGGTATTAAATAAACTAACAAAGTACATTGTTATGTTGAGCAAGAGTGCCTCTACCAAAATTGTGAATTTTATGGCCCCAGGGTCAGGGGTTCTTGTCTTAGGGCGGGGCTCTATTGATCATATAGTGAAATGCATTTATTCTTTGAAAATCTTCTTCTCTGCTCCTGGGTATTAAATGAATAAAGTAAACACATAGTTATGATGAGCATGAGTGCCTCTACAAAAATTGTGAATTTTATGGCCCCAGGGTCTGGGGTTCTGGTGTTAGGGTGGGGCTCTATTGATTATATAGTGAAAATACATGAATTCTTTGAAAATCTTCTTCTCTGCTCCTGGGTATTAGATAAACTAACTAAGTACACAGTTATGATGCGCAAGAGTGCCTCTACCAAAATTGTGAATTTTATGGCCCCAGGGTCAGGGGTTCTGATGTTAGGGCGGGGCTCTATTGATTATATAGTGAAAGTAAATGAATTTTTTTTTAATCTTCTTCTCTGCTCCTGGGTATTAAATAGACTAACTAAATGCATACTTATGATGAGCATGAGTGCCTCTACTAAAATTGTGAATTTTATGGCCCCAGGGTCAGGGATTCTGGTGTTGGGGGGGGGGGGGGGACTCTATTGATTATATAGTTAAAATGCATGAATTCTTTGAAAATCTTCTTCTCTGCTCCTAGGTATTGAATAGACTAACTAGGTGCATACTTATGATGAGAAAGAGTGCCTCTGCCAATGTTGTGAATTTTATGGCCCCAGGATCAGGGATTCTGGTGTTAGGGCGGGGCTGTATTGATTATACATGTATGTTGAAAAAACATTAAATCTTTGAATATTTTCTTCTTTGCTCCTGGGTTTTAAGCAGATGAACTACCTATATAGTTTATGAGCAAGGGCCCTAATCCTCAAGAATTGTAAATTTCAAGGCCCCAGGGTCAGTTGTACCATAGAGGGAGGGGGGGGGGGGCTATACTTATATACAGAAAATGAATGAATTGTTTGAAATGTGCTCCTTGGTATTAATCAAATAATTTTGAAAAGCAAGGATGCCTTTCCAAAAATTGTTCAATGTGTGGATCTAGGCCTTAGAGTCAAGGGTTAATGTGTGGTAGCGGCACTACTGATTATTGCTGAATATTACTGATTTGTTGAAATGCATTTTTTGTTCCCCTACCCTGCCTATGGGTATTAAGTAACCAAACTAAGGAACTGCTAAGTGTATAGTTATGATGACCAAATTTTAAATGCTATAGTATCTGGCTTAAAACATGGATCAAATTCAATCACTGGAAAGTTGTTGAATAATGCTCAGGTGACCTATAAGGCCCATGGGCCTCTTGTTATGTCTATAGTTGTCTAGAAAAAAAGTAGATCTATGTTGAGGTTTGGTTTTTTAGCTCTACTGGTCAGAGACCAGAAGAGCTTATGCGATGGTAATGCGTCCGTCGTCCGTCCGTCCGTCTGTCTGTCTGTCTGTCTGTCTGTCCGTCTGTCTGTCTGTAAACAATTTTTCAAAATGCTACTCCTCCTACAGTTTTGGTCTGATTTCAATATAACTTGGCACACAAGTAGACTACACTAAGATACATAATTCTGTGTATCGGTTTTTGATTTCATTGAACGGTGTTGCCGTGGTTACTAAAAATAGAAATTTCTATAAAATTCGTTCAAAATGCTACTCCTCCTGCAGTTTTGGTCTGATTTCAATATATAACTTGGCACACAAGTAGACTACACTAAGATACATAATTCTGTGTATCGGTTTTTGATTTCGATGAACGGTGTTGCCGTGGTTACTAAAAATAGAAATTTCTGTAAAATTCTTTCAAAATGCTACTCCTCCTACAGTGTTGGTGTGATTTCAATATAACTTGGCACACAAGTAGACTACACTAAGATACATAATTCTGTGTATCGGTTTTTGATTTCGATGAACGGTGTTGCCGTGGTTACTAAAAATAGAAATTTCTGTAAAATTCTTTCAAAATGCTACTTCTCCTACAGTGTTGGTGTGATTTCAATATAACTCGGCACACAAGTAGACTACACTAAGATACATAATTCTGTATATCGGTTTTTGATTTCGATGAACGGTGTTGCCGTGGTTACTAAAAATAGAAATTTCTGTAAAATTCTTTCAAAATGCTACTCCTCCTACAGTTTTGGTCTGATTTCAATATAACTTGGCACACAAGTAGACTACACTAAGATACATAATTCTATATATCGGTTTTTGATTTTGATGAACGATGTTGCCGTGGTTACTAAAAATAGAATTTTTTGTGAAATTTTTCAAAATGCTACTTCTCCTACAGTGTTGGTCTGATTTCAATATAACTTGGCACAAGAGTAGACTACACTTAGATACATTATTCTGTGTATCGGTTTTGGATTTCGATGAAAGGTGTTGCTGTGGTTACTAAAAATAGAAATTTCTGTGAAATTCTTTCAAAATGCTACTCCTCCTTCAGTTTTGATGTGATTTCAATATAACTTGGCACACAAGTAGACTTCAATAAGGTACATAATTCTGTGTATTGGTTTTTTACTTCAATGAACGGTGTTGCCACAGTTACTAAAAATAGAAATTTCTGTTATATACTCTCAAAATGCTATTCCAAATACAGTTTTAGTCTGATTATAATATAATGTGGCATGCAAGTAGACTATACTAAGAACATAATGAGACTTATTCAAGGATCATTATCCTATTTATTGCTGTTGTAAAGTTTCAATTCCCAACTGCTTAAGTACTTTTCTCTTCCTTTGCTATATAATAAGTACAAACCAGTAGAGCTTCAGTCTCGACAGAGACTTCTGGTTTTGCCTGGTCTAGACAAATTAGGTAACCGTTTTAAAAGAAGAAAAGTTGTTTTATCATGAAACTAGTCTGCCTTGTAACACATTTTGTCAGTTATGGTGAGCTTTTTTGTATATGTACTAAATTTTTGCTTAAATCCTTAAGCTTCAGAGTATTCTTTGAAATTTAAAAGCACCTCGTAGTATTTATGTGACATTAATTGATCCTGAAACTATATACATGTGTATATACTTTTGTATTAAAAGACAAACTATATCAATGATTTGGGGACATATATTGATTTTTGTGGTATTATAAATTTGTCTATTTCAGTTAGAGTTTTAAATTTCACTTGAAAAGAGATAGGATGGGTTGATTGTGTGTATTTTGCAAGTGCCATATGTGACCAATTGACATTCAGTGGAGTACAATTAAGTTATAATTAGCTGCTCATCTGTAGCCATTACTTTATAAGTCACTTAAAAATAACAAAATGCCATTAGATACCTGGTACACATTAAGCTAATCAATGTGTGTACATTGTAACTGTATCCTCACATGTCTAGCGTGAACGCTAATTACTAAGCTGATAAATTTTTCATGGGAATTTAATACCAAGGTAATGAAATTGGTTAATATTAATCTAATCAATGTTGGGTGAATTTAATGTCACCCAACACTTTGCTTTTATACAGTATGGTATTATTGATATAGAAAAATACTTTGCATACAAACGTATACACTGTGAACAGGGTTATTTTCGCATTACTTTATTTTTGCCCTTTCACACTTGCAAAAAATTTTGCCCAGGTTTAAATTCACCCAGTCACAATTTTGTTTAAGAAAATATACTGTACTCTTTAAATTCCTTTTAAAATTTGCCCAACAGAGGTTAGGGCGAAAGAGGCGAAAATAAAACGGGGGCGAAAATTTCCCTGTATACTGTATATAGTACTCAAATTGGAAAGAGCAATTCATGTGGATGCAAAATCTGAATTTTTTTTCTTTAGTTATGGGAGAGGAATATACACACAATACACTTGTAAATTGTCCCTTAGTGCAGTTTTTTGGGATAAAAGAGAGATCTTTATGGGAAAAATAACTTTCCTGATGCCACAGAATCAGAATTTTTCATTTGTGAAATAAAATTTATCATACAATTTTTTTTTCTCTACACCATGAATATGACTGGGGCATATACAGTTTGTCATGTCCATCTTCCATCCTTCTGTATTTCTGTCCTTTAATAACATTTTGCATTAGCACAGTTTAAAAGAAACTTTTCAAATATTTTATCAAGCGTCATGTGCTGATACATATTGATGAGAGCTTTTTTACTATCAACATTTTTTTTTACCTTGGCCCTTTTCTCAACCTTGAACTCTAGCAATTTTCTTAAATTAGTGTTTATCTCAGCTTCATAGAAACTATTGAAGATATGTATTTTCATGAAATTTAAAATTTAAAATATGCTGATACATACTGAGGAGAACTATTAAGCTTCATCCTGGGCAGGGCATTCATGATCTATGGACATACGTATACCGGTACTTATTAAATTTCACACTCTCGAAAAGATTTTTTAATTCTCTGATCACTACAACATCTCTTCTTGTTTCACCCCAACTAGCTCTTAATTATATTATACACTTATCCACTGGGTGTGAGTGGGATAGCTCTTTTATCAAACCCGCGACAGAGAACTATTCCCTGAGGGCTTGCCCGAGGGGAATAGTTCCTGTCAAGGGTTTGATAAAAGAGTTATCCCACTCACAACCAGTGGATAAGCATTTTATTATATTTATACTGATGTATAATTTAATTTCTGATGTTTGAATTTCTTTGGAGAAAGATAATTCTGCAAGAATAATCTGAAATCCTGATGACGTCACAATGCTACTGAAGTCATTATGACATCATCAGTTTAAAGATTTATCGCTGGAAATCAAAATTGGCGGCAACAATTGCATGAATATTTTCTGAGGGTGGATAGCAAAAACTATACCCCGGGGTATAGTTTTGCTATGCGTAGACTATAAAGGATAGTTATTTTACCTTCTGAACTTTATATAGAAAACATTTTAACAGAAGTATAATAAACAGAATTATTATCAATACAGTCCATTCCAATCCTGTCTTTTAATAGACCATGTGACAGAACTGGAGAAGAACTCGATCTGATTTACTCACATTTAAAGAATCTGAAAGCTTTTGAGAAGTTCCACCCCAGCCTTCTCCAGCAGATCTGTGTGTATGGGTACTATGAAGACCTGGACAAAGGCGTTACATGTAAGTTACATTGTTTGATCACATATTAAACAATAATTTTGTTATGGAGTATATTATTAAGTAACTACATCTCTCTGACCTCTTTTTTGAATTTTATTTTTAAAAAATTCATTGGAATATCTGGAATAACATTGATAAGTTAAGTTTTATACATGTATTGAGATTATTTTAAGTCTTGAACAGTAGAAATATCAAAGTTCTGTCAAATTTTAATACGCAGATCGAGTCCTTACCAATTACATTTATATCTTATAGTGTTCCGCCAAGGGGATATTGGGACAAACTGGTACATTGTGATCTCTGGAAGCCTGGAGGTTCTAGTGTCAGAGACAGGGGACCACAAGGTAAATCTAAATAGTTATTCAAGGTCACCTCAAAGAAGTCAAAAAAAGTGAGCTTATGCTGTGCCCCTTATATCAGTTTCCCATAAGATTTAGGAGCAGGTCCATTTCCAAGTTACAATGAATTCTTCCTGGTCCTGTGCCCCTGACATAGGTGTTCCAAATTACAGTTTTAGGTGCAGGTCCATTCTCAAGTAACCATGAACTTTACCTAGACCAATCTTGCATGGATGATGTATCAAGAGGTATGGATACATACTACCAGTCTTGCTTCAGAGGCTGCACCTGAGATCTATTTTCTGTATGAGTGACTATGTTAAAATTTTTTGTTTTTGTTTTTGAGGAGGTTCCTTTCCAAAATAAGGCCTGACTTGACCAAACTAACATGGATGATGGCTCAGATCAAACTAACATGGATGATGGCTCAGATTAAGTTAAGATTGTGTAGGGAAAAAATTTCAAGAAACACAGTGAAACTTGAGTGAAAGCTTTAATACGTAGTGTATATTCAGGATTGTTCACATCATGTTCCCCGGAGTAGGGTAGGGGCACAATGGTTGATCAGAGTTCTTTATAGAAATATATAGGAAAATTCTATATAAAGCATAGCAAGGTCATAATTAGTCATATTTAAAAGGATGTATCCACAGAGAATGTTGACTTAAGTTTGTTTAAATCTTGACCCCAATAGATAGGGTTTGACCACAAGAGCAATTAAAGTTTTAATAGGAATACTTTGAAAATATTAAGAATATTAAGGAGGAAAATTTACTGATGGAGGACAACAGGGCATTGGTGACTTAGGTGAGCATTGTTGCCCATTGGCCTCCTCATACTGACGATACAAAAGATTAGAAATAATTTTTTTTTAATTTGCATTCTGCACAAACTTTACAACATTGGTAAAGTTGATACAGTACATAAGCCTGATGTTGAAACTCTTTACACCTTCTGCAGGGTATAATTTTCTAGTATAATAGAAATAAGATTAAATCCTCACTGACAGACCTACAAAACACATCTAATTGCTTCTCACCATTTTCAGTAAATTGTATCTTCAAGGCTCAATTTTGAGTTATTTTGATCTAAGACAAGTTGTCGGACAATTTTTCTGATTATGTATATGTGAAATATTTAACTTGATCTGAAATTGGCATCATTGTCTTCTGTTACAGTAGTTCTGTCTAGAAAACCTTAAACTAAGTCAATTAAACCATAAGTTCAGATGTCTGTCTGAAAATTAAATTACCAGTACAAATATACCACACAAGGTAGAGAATTATGAAAAAAAATGTTTTACATCATAAAGTTGACATTTGCCATAAATCTCAACAGAATGTGCTTTTATCTAAAGATATCTTACCCTATGATGATCCAGAAAATGTGTTAATTGCTTAATAAAAGCTAAAGATATGGTGTCATTAATGGTTTGGCAAAGTTCAGAAGTAAATGCAGTCAGTTGATATTGTCATCCCCTGGTAATTTGGAATAAGTCAGGTATGATTATATGGGGGCGTAGCCAGGATATAGTCTGGATTTTACGCATCAAATATGAATTCTTACTCTTGAGTATAATGATTTATTTCCAAAATGTAGTTTCTTTTTTTTTGTTTATTTTTCTTCAAAAATGAAGCATATTCATGTAAAAGTAACGAGATAAGAATCTAAGTACTAAAAGTACTCCAAGGTTTTAATCTTAAGATACACTGCATGATTAACAACATTACATTGACCATTTTACCAATCATGGATTTCCTTAGTATGAAATAGTCATGCTAGCCCAGATGATAAGCACTTGCTCAGATGCCGGAAGGTCTTACGAGAAAGTTCCAATCTCAGCCATGACTGACCTAATTTGATAAAAAAAACAGATAGCAACTGTTCCTTTACCATGCACTCGGTACCTTGAAGTGAAAGTTGGATTCCTTCTGATGAGACCTTATAAACCGCGGTAGGCATTAACATTATAAAGATTCCTCACTGCTCAATGGCTTAAGTGCTGAGTAAAAGTCAAAATTTGAAGCCCTTCACTGGTATGTGGTGATATTTCTATATAGGTGACATATTCTCAAATGGGACCTAAAATAACATACAATCATCTTTGCTTCAAACATTGTTCTCCCATGTTTGCGATTTACTGTAAACTAGTTTTCAAATGATGTATACTGTGAGTGCATCATTCAGTACTGTATGTACAATATTTGGCAGAAATTGACTTTTGACCAAGTTAGCATTGATTTGATTCAGCACATTTCTTAATATTCTGAATTATGTAAATATGTGCAAGTTATTTAGCATTGAACTTGAATTATTATAGGGGAAGTTTCTTTCCACCAAAAGCGCTAAAAAGAATACACAGCCAAATGTAATACATTCACAATATTCTACCTTACCATAGCAAGATTTCAGCCTGTAATCAATGTGAAAATTCCATTGTCAAGTCTGATTTTTTGGGCTGTAAAATTTTTTAAATTTAATGTATTGTAAAAAAGTTTGGCCTTGAAAACTTATAAATATAACTTTCCAGTCATGATATACTCAATTCCACTATTTTTTCAGCATCCATGTACTCATTTCATTCACCTTTGAGCTAATGAGATGTTTTGTGGGCTTGAAGAACTTTAATGATAATCCAATTATCTCTACAAAATGGCCAGCATCAATCATGACCCTATTAATAGAACATCTAAATCATTTACAGTAACCATTATTGTGGATGATAACATATTGCCCAAATGAGACTTTTCTTTCCCTTTGCAAGCTTCTATTAATTTCATAAATAATGGAGTTGTAATTAGTACTAACATGAAAGAGCCACATATATCTCATCTATTTCTTATTTATTATTTGTTCTCAGGGGGATTTTGTCTGGGGATCTTAATGTTTCATTAAAAAAAAATGAATGGATTTTGTCACTATAAGTATATATTCTATATATACAGTATATTGTAGAAGTGGCAATGTTTCTGGTGAATTTAATTTATTCCATAGTTAACAATAAGCAACAAAATTAAAAAGCTTTATATGACTATATGCAAATAGGGTAACTTTCAAAACAACTTGATTTAATGCCCACAAATTATTTTTAGCTCTGCAAGTACCACAGCTGAAAGTTCAAGTGATCATCCCTTGTCCACTTGTCCATCTGTAAACTTTTTACATTTTCAACTTATTCTCAAGAACCACTTAAAGTTGTAACTTTAATCAAAATTGGTACAAAGCACCATTGGGTGAAGGGGACTTTATAAATTATTAAAATGAAGAGCCATAATACCCTTACTAGGGGAGATAAGAAAATAAAAAAAAAATGGGATGGGGTCATTGAAAAATCTTTTAAAAAAAAACATTATGGCAGAAAAGCTGAAACTTATGTGAAAGCATTTCGGTGTAGTGTAGATTCTAAATTTTTCAATTCATGGCCCATAGGGGTAGAGCGGAGCCATGATAGGGAATCCCCAATTTTTACATTGAAATGTATAAGAAAAATGTTTTAAAATTTCTTCTCTAGAACCCACTGAGCCAGAAAAGCCAGAGCTTATGTGGAATCATCCTTAAGTAGTGTTAACTCAAAATTGTTCCAAAAAATTACCCCAGGCATAGAGCGGGGCCACAATATATAGGTATTGTTATGGGGAAAATCTGGTAAAGAGCAGCGGTACCAAAATTAAACCAGGTGAGCGTGATGGCCCTTGGGGCTCTTGGTTCACAAATTGATGAAATTTATCTCCAGTCCTATTTGTATATATGCATTTCCATGTTCTGCAGATTTGTGGACCCCTTATTATCAGAATGGGGTCATGATATCAGGTCATAATTTCATGAGGAGAACAAATCTTAAAAATCGTTCATGATAGAACAGCATTATTAAAGTCACTCAGGTGAGAGTTGTGGCACATGGGTATCTTATATTGTGTAATACATAGGAAATTCTTTGCTATGTTTGGTCTATTTTTATACATGTATATCATGAATTTATACAAGTTAAAAAGAAAGATATGAGTATGAAGAAAATATGAAATGTTTCCATAAAATCACTAATACATGAAGCTATGTATTTGGTCCTTTAGCTTTTGATCTTGTTTTAAAGGATTATTTAAGAATTCAAAGCAGATTTACTAGCTATTTTGCACTTTTCATTTATAGTTCACTTTTAGAGATGTGTAGTATGGTACATCTAAAGCAAAGGAAATACAGTGTTGTTTCTCGCCAATAGAAACATATCCTTTGCCATAAATACATGGCCAAGAAAAAAAATTGGGGCAAATTGTCTCCTCATTAAATTTGTTTCTTATTAAAAAATTGGCATTAATGAATTCTAATCACGCAATGTGAGACTAGGAATATCAATAGATATTGACAGACTGAAAGGAAGAAGTCCTGATAATGATGGAATAACAAATAAACCCTCCTTTCCGTTCTCATTGTAATTTCACTTTAAACTATTGATTGGGGAGGGATAAATTGAAAGATTCTTACCCAAGGCACTGAAATTGAGTTCATTAGAGGCTGTTGATACATGGCAATTCTTTGCACCTTTCCCCCCTAATCCCAGAAAATAATTGCTGGGTCTGTACCATTTGTACAATTTAGCCCTAAAGTAGATTAGAGAAAGATCTCTTTCCTTCTAATTATGTTCAAGAAATAAATTTTATTGATTGTTTATCAGTTTTCCCATCATTCATTTCATCTGAGATGTTTTTTTAGGCTATCATGTAGCCATCTTTACTTGTCTTGCCTTTCTCGGTAATTAAGTTTATAACTTCCTTCTATAAACTTGCAAGTATTAGTGCCGGTTAACATTGCAAAATGTTTCTGGTTAATACATGTATATATGCAATGTTTTTCATTGCACAGTATTGCTGGTTAATATCTAAGTGCTGACTTTGTCATTGCACCATTCCTGTAATTCTGGCAATAACTTAAAATGTTTACTAATTTTCTGCAGGAGTCATATTTTAGTGTTGTTGAGTGTTTGTTAAATGTCTGTATTATAAATTGTAATC